CTTGTTGCCAAAAATCAATTGCAATTGAAAGGATATAACTTGCAAGCTCTAATACCAAAATATTTTGGTTACAATTATGGCTTTGAGTTAAAATGTACTGGTTTCATGCGTATGAAAGCAAGGCAATACGGTTTCAACTGTATGAAAGTAGGGTAAATTACTTCAACATATATTCAATTTCATGGAAGAACATGGGAAAACACAGAGAGAGAAGAGCGACACGAACTTTATTCCTTCTCAAGATTTCTTACCCAATTGCATACATGGTTAGGGCATATTGCATGCATATATGGACTAGACACACTGCAAATTACATTTTTATCCCTCATTTGTTCTTTGACAATTTCCTTTGACTTTTCTACTAAAAACACGTTACATATTAACACTTTTATTTGGCATTTTGAATCTTTAAAACCTTGTTCACAGTTTTTTGTTCATCGATCAATAAGGCACGAATTACGTTAGAAAATATAAATTCATTAAAAATAAGAAAAATTATAATTAGACAATCTAGTAAATCATAAATTGATTTTTGTTTTATTTGCACTTATCTTATTCATGGCTTCTTCAATGCTATTTATAGGCTTGTACGGTCTTCCAACATCAATGAAAGACTTTATACATTGTATGTAATATAGGCTTTGTTTGAGCCACATTATTGGAAAGAATATACATTTTTGAATAGTATAATGATAGGAAATGTGTGATTAAAAAATAAGGAAATATTTTGGATTTGCATGTAATATTATTTTATTAAATAATATGTAGTTGAAATGATGTTAAATCACGGTTGAAAAATGTATTTTTTTTTTTAAAAATAACGTGGCTTAAACAAGGCCATAATAAAAAATTCATACATAGACAATTTATTATATACATCAAAGATTTCAAACATTGTATTCTATGGAATTGATGAGTTTTGTAAACCAGTTTAATTTATGTAAAATATGTATTATTAAGTTCAAACTAAGGTATTAGAATAATAGTTTATATATTGCTTGGACAATAAGAACGGTACGACCATCTACTCCAAGATAGCATCTCCAAATTTCGGTGAACTGCTAAATAAATTTCCCACATAAGCAAAATAAACGGTATTTAAAAAATTAATCCCCAATTCAATTTCACATGGATTTTTTTCAAGCTAATACGACAACATTGTGAAACACTCTATCTAGATTCAAAAGCCCAGTTACACAAATTGACTCCAGAATTAAATTCCTCTATTATTATTATTTTTCTGTACTCATTTTCATATGCATCATAAGATGAAGGTTTTCTTTTCTTTTCTTTTTTTCTTTTTTTTTTCTTTTTTGTAAATAAAGACACGAAGGCAGTCACATAAGATGTAGATGGAACTCACTGGATATTAATATTGAACTTGAGTTATCAATATCACGTAAAAAGCAAGTCTTTCAACTTATATACACCTCGACGACAAAATTCATAAAATGCATTGAAAATGTTCTAAAATATTGCAATCCACTTCAAAAGACATTCTTAAAGCAAAATTGCTAAGTCCGTTAGAATAATTTCAAAATATGAGCTTCCCATTTGATTGCGAATTTTATGTTTTATAAAATGGGTTAGATGTATAGCTCATAATGGTATTATGGTTAAGCCCAATATGTTGAATGATCACTTGGATTCTTTTACATCTTAGTTATATGAGATTATATCCTATATAATGTGGTAGTTTAAGTATATGGGTCAGAAAGATCTAAACCATATTTAGGTTGGAATCATTAATGGGATGACTCAATAATTTTCAATGTAAGAGGCTAGGTCCTCTTTCTTTTTCATATGTTTATTGGCTTGTCCCATAGACGGCTAATACTTTTGTGAGGAGTAAAAGGGGGAAGATCTAATTGTTGACATTTGCATTCAAGATGTCTTATTTCTTGGAATTATGAATTTAGATTTATGATTCTTGTTTCTGGACATGATTATTATTATATTCAACAATTGGTATCAGAGCTTAAATGCTAATACGAGAATCCTTCATTAAAACAGCATTATTTTTCAATTTCTGACTTAATAATACGAGAATCCTTCATTAAAACAGCATTATTTTTCAATTTCTGACTTAATAATTCTGAAATTTATACCAGTCGACCAATTTAAGGTTTTTGGAATTAATTTAAGTTTCAAATAGCTGACCAATTCTAAGGTTTCTGCCTAGCTCAACCAACAACTATGAAGTTTCTACTAGCCGGCAAATCCAACCAACTCGCCTCTTGAATTTGACTTGTATAGTTAGATTAATGGGATGGCTCAAATCAAAGGTAATGTGGTAATTTAAGTATGTGGGTTAGAGAGATCTAAACCCTGATTAGGGTTGGAGTCATTAATGGGATAGCTCAATAAATTTTTGTATAAAAGGCTAAATCCCTTCTCCTCTCCCTATATTTATTGGCTTGCCCCATAAAAGGCTAATACTTTTGTAAGGAGCAAGGGAACGAAAATCTAACTGTTGATATTTGCATTCAAGATGTCTTCTGCAGACATAACTCCTGGAACTATGAATTTAAAGATGTAGTTCTTGTTTCATGACTATTATTATATTCAACACCCTCACCTTGAGAATCAGAAACATAAAATTATGTTACTGCTGTTAAGTAAAAGGTAAATGTTACTTTTCCTTAAAAAGGAAAAGAAAAAGGACTTACAAATCGATGCCAATTTTCAAAGTTGACTATCATATCCAATTTATACAAATAAATTGAAGTTCTTTTCATTCATAATTCATTCTTGTTGCGGGCCATAATTCAGTAACTTAATACAATGAATGAATCTCAGTTTATGGAATGCTCCTTCTGTCAAATAATGATGAGAGTTTGAAACGTTGTAGGTTAAGGTTCTGAAAATTCGGAAATGACTTGTCCTGACAAACAAAAATCATGTTTAATAGTATTGCTTGGTGGGATCTGTAGCCTTGTTGGTTAAATATCATCCATTAAAAAAAAAAACACCTGTTTTTTGCTGTACCAACCCTATCTCAGGCATCTTTTAGGCTGCTCCAGAATTCCTTTTCAATATGACTAATCAAATATATAATGGGGCCCAATTGAAATCAGATGAAAATGTTTAAATCTAATTGATGGATCATACTATATGCTCAAATTTTTTTTACAAACTTCCTTACTCGTTACTTACAATGGGGTGGAGACCACAAGTCGTCGTTTTTTTAAATTTACCTAAGGTCCGCTAATTTTATGAGAGTGAGTACATCATTTTGTCAACAAGATTTTGTACAAATATTTTTATTCATAATTGATTACCTTGAATTGCATCGGGTTTCACTTTTTTATTTTCTTTTGCATTATCTTGACATGGCACGAGCATAAAAAAAAGTTCAAGATTCCAGTCTTCTTTCTTCAGGTTTAAAATCACTTATTTTGACATTTTTACTCAATGGGATAAGATATTACTGTTTTTTCTTATGCTATACTGCGACGCAATAGCAGCGTAAAAGGAATTCAAGATTATGATTTCCTTTTTTATTAGGTCTAAAATAACTTTTTCCGACTTTTTTACTCCCATGTTGGATAGATTGGAACAAATTTTACTGTTTTTTTTTTTTTTTTTTTGGTTAATCGCAATATCTTGGCTTGACACGAGCGTAAAAGTGATTCAAGAGCCAGTTTTCATTTTATTAGAGCTAAAATAACTTATTATGGCTTTTTTCAACCACATATTAAAGGATAAATTGGATAGGATGTAAGAGTATACAGAATTCAAGAATTAGTTCATTTAGTTAGGGCTTTGGCTTTTTTTGACCTCATTATAGGGTGGATATATATAATAGACACAGACACACAGAGCAATACTGTTTGAACATGTGGTCTAATAGGACATATGTCTGGCAAAACAACATTAACTTTGAAAGCTAGTAATCAAATCACTGTTAATGATCAATCATGAACTCAGTTAACATAATTAGGTCATGACCTAATTAGGCTTCTTGATCAACTTGTCCTAATTTTAGGTTTTGATGTTATATATAATTGACAGACAGAAGAGAAAAACTTGTAATAACCAACCCTTTTTGGCAAGTAGAAAGCGAAAACTCCAACTTTTCTTGAATTCAAACTGATCAAGAGAGGTATAGAATAGAAGAACTTAATTCAGGTCCACTTGAATGCATAGAATTGTCAAATCCATTGCCCAATCAAAAACCCAGCAAACCATTCATTATATGACACCAAGGTGAACAAATTAGATTAAAAGTTAACGGCTATGAAAGATCTAATGTAAAAGAAAAGAGGCTATGAAACAACATTGATAGCATGTTTCGTTACGTAATTACGTGTTCTAACTATTAAGAGACGTCGCAAAATGTTATTGATAAGAGATTATTGAGTCTGAAATTTCATCACAAAACCCCAAAAGTTTTAATGTTTTAAGTAAAGTCGACTTTTATTCTCAACATACAGTTGCAAGATTGTATCTCATTAGAGAATGCCTAACTCGAAATTTGACAACTCTTTTGAGGTTTAGACATATTGAATTGCTCACATTCCTCCATGCTACTATCTACCGCCACCATCCATCCGAAACCTTATATGTTGATTATTTTTTGTATATTTAAGTGAGATGAGATTTTTCCTTCCCAAATATTAACTCAAAGAAACAATATACAAGAGAAATTTATAATTCATTCATAATTTGATTGTGCATATGATTTTATCAATTTTGTTTTTCATTTTTATCAAATAGAATACATAACTAATCGTAGTATTTTACACATAGTGGCTACACGTTAAGGCGAACAAGCGGACTAAAAGTTGATGACACAAAAAGATATATTAACATATTAGAAAAATAGCTATCAACTAGCTTGAGCTAATGCATATTCTCCCTTCAAAACTTTGTATAGACCCCCCCCTACCCCACGAAAATTACGACACCTAAACCCTAGCAAATGACCCACGAATTTCCCACGGTTTCGCTTTCTTTTGACAAATAATTTCCCCTTATAAACCAAGCATTACCTCACCTCTCCACCCTCAATAGATAAAGTTACATATATATCTATCAATAGATGTTTGTCATATTACTATTGTAGTTTTGTACAAATATACATACATATATATACACACAAATAAGTACGCATTTGTATATGGCTAACCCTTCACATAAGCCTAATTACATGATCCAATTAGCAGAACAATATCCACAGCCTAGAAAAGAAGCCTCCAATTCTCCTCCACCCCCTCTATTATGTTCTAATGTTCACCAAGGGGACCAATCAAGAAGTCGAAAATTACCATCTATTAGAAAGGTACAAACCAATAAGGCTTCCGGCATGGGATCCACTTCCTCTGGTGGCTCAACGAGCCGGCCTAGTGGTGGCAAACATCCAATGTACCGCGGTATAAGAAGCCGAAGTAGCAAATGGGTGTCAGAGATTCGAGAACCACGTAAAACGACACGTATATGGCTCGGGACTTACCCAACTCCGGAGATGGCAGCTGCGGCTTATGACGTGGCGGCATTAGCCTTGAAAGGGAATGATACTATATTGAACTTCCCGTATCATATTAGTTCATATCAGGTCCCGGTCTCTCCTTCGGCGTCCGATATTCAACGAGCAGCAGCCTCTGCAGCTGAGTTAATGAATCCCGAGACTACGAAGGAGGCGGCAGTTGATGAGCCGGATTCTGCTAATGCACAGATTGTCCCTAGTGGAAATGATTTTATAGATGAGGAGGAACTGTTCGATATGCCTAATTTGCTGGTGGAGATGGCGGAAGGTATGCTGCTCAGCCCACCAAGAATGCTGACAGATGACTCGCCGGGAAGTTTGAATACCGAAAGTCTATGGAGTTACTTTTAAGTTTTAAGATCCTTTTTGTGCTGCCTTAACATATAATAGACAAGTAATTTGCTCATCACAACGAAAGATATGGATAGAATTATGGCTCTACCAGAAATAGGCTCGACTTCGTACCCTAGTTTGGTAGTTTCCACTGCGCGACCAAGGTTGAATCTCGTCTTCTTTTACCCTTTTGTACAATGGTAAACTGAAGCAGCAGCTTCTAGTATTTCTACTTTCTGTCTAATTTGAACAAAGAATTCTTCCTTTTGTTTGGTTTTTTTTATGCATATGGGAATTTTACATCATGATCGAGTCAAAATGGCTAAGAGATATCAATGAAGCATGTTAAATAAAAGCTAGGCACAAAAGGACTATTTATTTTAATGATATCACGCGTCATTAACATAGATTTCTGCTAAAATCTATGTTACTTATGTAACGATCTACTCGACGAGTAGAATAAGTTTGTCTATTTACTTTTGTAATTTGATCATCGGATCAAATCCAAATATTTGGTCGAAATTGACACGAATTTACATCTTTTCCTTTTCCACTTTTACACTTAACCAATTTTCGGTTAATTTTTAACCAATTCCAACAACAAATAGCCTCTCGAATTTCTTTCAAATGATCAAGCAAAAACCTATGTCTGAGCATGAAAGTATCACCATAATGCTATTCAAACCCACGCCTATTAGTTACTCTATATATAATATATGTATTAGGTCGTTTTAGTATTTAAATTTCTTTTCTGGTTAACTGTCTTCTTCGTTATAGTAATACCATGCAGCATAAATAGAAAGTGAATCGCTATAAATCATGTGTTCTTTATATGCTTTTAATATTCTTGTTTTTGCTATTCTTTGATAGTATAAAATTAGACGTCAACGGCCCTATTTAAACTGTTAGAAGACACAGTGGACTACCAGGCGCGGAGCCAGCACCCGGCGAGGGGGCGCGGCCGTGCGTGCTGGCTTCGCCGGAATCTTGAGAATCGCCTGGTAGCAATTGCCAATCAGGCCTTTGCTGAAGTTGCAGAGCCGGCCGGAGTCAGGAGAAGAACTGAAGAAGACGAAGATGAAAGTGAAGAGCCCTTTTTTTTTTGGTTTGGGCTTCAGTTAAGTGATTTAGAGTAATTGTTGGGCAGTTGGGCTTCTTTTTGTTTAGCCCAATTCTCAAATGAAAAAAACAAATGGTCCAATTTATCAATCATTTTCAATCGTGCAGCCAAGAATCCAAAATTCTCTTCTTCTGTCCAATTCCCAAATTGTGGAAGCCTAAATGCCAATTGTCAAACCCTTTTCCTCCCTTTCTCCTTTCAACCAGACTCCATCAAAGAATAGGTAGCATCGACGACGCCACGAGCAGGAGGGATTCACCGTAGCCAAGTGCCAACAACCGCTGCAGTGCCGAGCCGATTGCCGTGAGTGAGTCCGTGAGACCGTGACTGCTGGCTGCCGCTGCCGTTTTTAGGTTTCTCCTTTCTGCCTTTTTTTTTTTTTTTTTTTTTTGTTATGGTTTTGTTCTATTTTGTTTTGGCTACTACCTACTTGACTTGTAGTTGTTGATGTTGAGTATTGAGTAAATAATATTAATTATGTTATGATTTATTGATTTGGGGATGCCGGCTCATTGATGGAACATAATGGGTGGGACTTGGGAGCTATATTGAGTCCTTTCTACTGCTTCAAGTTCAAGTCCTCTTCTGTACAACTAAGAAGCCTCGTGATGTTTTCAGGTGGACCACTCAGGTGAAAACTGTGGACAAGCCCCACAGTTTGCCAATCATAGTAAGTAAAGCAATATGTTGAGAAAATGGTATGAATTTTTGGGTACGACTTTGTAGGCTCGTTATCAGCTTCTGACTGTCCTTTAACTTTCATGATTCGACGATTTCTAGGAGTCAATAATTTAGGTCGAGTTAGTTGCACAAATGTTCTGCTCCTCAAGAAACTCAAGTATTTTGTGTTTGAGAATTGTGATTTATGAATTATGATAAGTAATTTATGTTATATGTCTTATTGTCTTATGTGTTATAATTATTGATTTGGGAATTTATGTTTACGAAGTTATGTTTGTGAATTGTGATTTATGATAACTGATAAGAAATTTACGTCAAGGTTAATGAAGAATGTTTATTGTTTTGGGAATTTTTGTTTACGAAATTATGCTTGCGAATTGTGATTTATTATAAGTAATTTATGTTTTAATGAGGAATGATTTACGTTTAGGGAATTTATGTTTACGAAATCATGTTTGCGAATTGTGATTTATTATTAGTAAATTATGTTTTAATGAGATATGATTATTGATTTGAGAATTTATGTATAAGAAATTATGTTTGCGAATTGTGATTTATGATATGTAATTTATGTTTTATGAGTTATGATTATTGATTTGGAAATTTATGTTTAGGAAATTATGATAAATGAAAAAAATTAATTGAGAAGATCGTTGATCATTGATTGTCATTGTCGACGGTCAACGATTGTTGATCGTTGATTGTCTTCAAATTTTAATAAATGACCGGAATATTACGATTGTTGATCGTCGACAGTCAACGGTCAACAGTCAACCTCCGCCCTAGCTGGACTTCGATCCTGGATTCGCCCCTGTGGACTACCCATACTATACCTTGGATTGCACCCGACAACCTTCACATTGGCGCCGGCAGATGTCGAACATTATATATGCACA